TTATATAATATAGAGTATTGGATTTTGAATTTTATTTTGTTCTTAACTTAAAAAAAGAAATGTACAAAAATAATTATTTATTTTTTGTGTCATTTTGAAGAATATTATTTTTCTTTTCATTGTAATAAGAAGCTTTGATGAGAATCGACGTTTCTATTTTTTTTCTCTCTATCAACATTTATTTGAAGATAATAAAATATTAATTTAATGAAAAACAAAAAAAAAGAAAATTGATACTTTGATTTACTGTTTAATAATGTTAACATAACATACGTATGAACATTGTTCTTAAAGAAATATAAAAAAATAATTCTTTATTATCTATTTTTCTCTTCAATATCCATTTAATTTCCATTGAAACCCAATTGTTCGATAAAATTTGTCCACAATTAACGATTATAACAATAATAATGGATGTGATATGAATAAAATAATAATAATAATAATAATATGCTATAATACTTAGACTCGTTTGAATAAAGTTATCAAATGAGAGAGAATATATAATAAAATAATAAAATTTATTACATTGATATCATTAATTATATCGCCGTACGATTATTATCGATATTAACTGTCGTCGTTATTACAATTATAATAATAATAATAATAATCATCATCGAATATAGGAATCATTTATTTAATGTACAACTGAATTTCAATGAGCTTTTCTCATTACAGGAAAAGATCGTACAATGTGAATGAAAAAAAAAAATAAATAAATGAAATAAGAAAAAAAGAAAAAGAAAAAAAATTAAAAAGAATCGTTAACATAGTGTTCTCTGTTTCTCTCTCTCTCTCTCTCTCTCTCATTATATTAAGGAAGTTCCATCGTTTGTATACGAAGCCAGTTCATCTTCTCTCTCTCTCTCTCTCTCTCTCTTTCTTTCTTTTTTCCTCGGCTCGTTCGTTATTTCACGAATCACAAAGAATCTCATAAAAAAAAAAACAGGAAACAAAAAAATTACTTCTCCCACGAAATCTTTCGCGTCGAAAGAAAACTCGAAACTTTTCTTTTAACACCATTCCACACTCCTCCACCCTCTCTTCCACCCCTCAACCCTCCTTTTACTTTTCTTCCCTTAGTTTCTTATCTTTTTGTTTTCTATTTTGTCATTTGCCTCTCTTTCTCTATTACTTTTTATTTATTATATTTTATGTATATTTTTTCTTTTTTAATTAATTTATCTATGACTCTCTCTCTTTCTCTTTTTGTTTCTGTTTCTATTACTCTTAGTTTCATCGTTTCTTTTTATTTTTTTAGTTTTATTTTTTATTTATTTTAGCCCATCTTTTTGTTTCTATTTTTTCTTTTTCTTTTTTACTTCATCTCTGTCCCTCTCTCTCTTTCTCGCTCTCAATCTCCCTATCTGTTTTTTTCTTATTTTTTATTTTTGTTTTCAGTCCCTCTCTACCTGTTTCACTTTGCTGATCTCATTTCCCGTTTTTTTTTTTATTCTAATTTTTTTTGCTTAATATTTCATCTTCTACTCATCTTTTTATTTTTATTTCTTCTTTTTTTTTTTTTTTTTTTTAATTCGTCCATCTATCTCTCTTCTTCTTTGCTTCTGTTTCTTTTTCATTTTCTCTCCCTCACTTGGGTGTAGGATGCGACAACGAAAGCTCGAAGACAAGGCAGCATTGAGATTCACTCTCCGAAATTAAAGCTCGTTCTTCCTGTCGGCTGAACATGTATATATATATATAGAAAGAGAGAGAGAGAGAGAGAGAGAGAGAGAGAGAGAGAGATACCTACTACTCCAACTTCCTTCTTTGTAGTGTAAAAAACGAACGGTACCCGTCCTTTCGATCCTTCGTCGATCGAACTAAATGTTAAGTGTGTGAGAGAGATAGTGAGAGAGAGAGAGAGAATGCGAGAGAGACTCGAGGAAACTTTGAAAAGCAACGACGGCAACCATCCTTTCCATCTACCTTCTATTTTCCCCCCTTACCCTGCCCATTCTCTTTCTAAAAGCTAAAACTTTCGAAATTACTCGAGTAATCTTCTTTTGAAAATGAAATGCTGATCGGGGTATGAGGAGGGAGGGGGTGGGGGAGACGGGGAAATAAATATTAGAATTAGTTTGGAACAATTTAAGAATTATTATCATATCTCCGATAAATTTCAATGCCGATCGAGGCAGGTTGGTTGGGTGAGACAGTAGGAGGGGGAAGGGTGGAAGTTTTCGACGAATTACTTACTGCATTTTCGAGAATACTTTTGTCATATAATCGATTAATTAAATGCTGATCATTAGATTGGGATTATTTAATAAGTTGTTTTTCCATTAAAAAAAAACACATTTCGTCTTAATATTGATTTGGAAGAAGAATATATTCATGGTTTCCCATATATATATAACTCTAGTCACGATTTTTCAAGTACTTGAGATAACCTGACAAAAAAATACTTAAAACAGAAGTTCATCTGTTTTTGATTGACTATACATTGCAATATAAAAAAAAAATTCGAAAAAAATTTTGTTCTTTTAATGTTTCTTAAGGCTACCTTTAATTTTTTAAATAGAACTTAGCATTTTTGACTTTATAATATTATAATCCATATTAAATATGAATTCTTACTTACTTACGAACACACACACACACACACACACAAGCACATATACCTATATATTTTAAAAATGCATAGAATTCGTACCAAAACTAGTTTATTCGTCCATAGCCCGTGGCTACTCTCACAGATGTGGAAGACAGTTAAAAGCGATCATTCTCGTTTTAAGCTTCGCGAACGATCTTGCATCCCTTTCTCTTTCTCTTTATTTCTTTCTTTCTTTCTTACCATCTTTTACCACTTACACCACTTTTTCTTTCTTCCCTTTCCTCTTCATCTTTTCTTTTTTTCTTTCTTTCTTTCTTTCTTTCTTACTTTTTATTACAAACCCGACCATTCTTCTTCAACTCTTACATTTTTCTTTTTTCTTTCTTTCTCTTTTTTATTTTTCTCTCTCTTCCCCCTCACCCTCCATCACTGTCTCTCTCTCTTATTCGTCTGGAAAAACGTTATTTTCTTTTTCTTTTTTTTTTTTTTTTTTTTTTTTTTTTCTTAGTACGTACACCAGGACGACGACAGCAAATGAATTCGTGGCTTTGAATGCAAATTGGCTTAATTCGTTTTTCAGTTTGAATTTGCTNTCTTACTTTTTATTACAAACCCGACCATTCTTCTTCAACTCTTACATTTTTCTTTTTTCTTTCTTTCTCTTTTTTATTTTTCTCTCTCTTCCCCCAATCATGTGAAAACTTTCACCCGCATCTCTCTCTCTCTCACTACGTTTCTTTTTTTTTTTTTTTTTTTTTTTTTTTTTTTTTTTATTTTTTCTTAGTACGTACACCAGGACGACGACAGCAAATGAATTCGTGGCTTTGAATGCAAATTGGCTTAATTCGTTTTTCAGTTTGAATTTGCTCGTCGACAATTTCAACGAATTTTCTCCCCTCGACCTACCCTCCCTACCCCATCCCCTCAACCCCTCTATTTCTCTTTCTATATCTATCTTTCTCTCGAACAACTTTATTATTCGATAAATATTTTTCTAATTAAACTCTTTCTCTCTCTCTCTCTCTCTCTCTTTGTCGTGGTCAGTGATAATTTTAATTAATTGCAAACAGCAGTCGAGAGAAAAGAATTACGAGCATTCCACAACTACTTTCCCCCCCACCCCCCTATTACAATATTATATTGTTTTTTAATGATTTTAATTTGTTTCTTTTTCCTTTGTTATTTTTTTATTTCATAATTTTCTCTCGCAACTCCATGATTTTTATTACTTTTTTTGTTTTTCTTCTTCTTTTAATAAATACGAGTAGAAAAATTCACTTGACCATTAAATTTGAGATCACGTTAGTACGATAGAAAAGTCAGGATAAACGACGTTTAGTTCTATTTCTCTGTTTTTTATCTATATATCTATCTCTTTCTATACATCCGTAGTTTTCTACTAACAGGAAAAGATACTTTTTCAAACATTCCACGAGGTAAGATTTAATTTAACGATAACTACTCGCGTCAAAGTTCTTATAAAGTTGGCACATTATTTTTCGGTTTAACATGTTAATAAGCATGAAAGAAAATTTATTCCAAAGAGACAGGAGAAATCTATCGAATTTAATCTTCATTATCATCTATTCATTTGCTGTTAACGAACTTTTATTAACGTCTTTGCTTACATTTTCTTTTTTTTCTTGTCCAAGTCCTTCGTACATTTTTCGTCATCGTTTTTTCTAAAGTTTTCAAAGTATTGTATTATACTTTTAAACGTTATCGTTAATCTAATCAACGAATTATACGAAGGATATAATATAACTCTGTTATCAAATATATATACAATAATAAGATATTGTTTTACGATAAGAGGTTTAATCCTTTCATTTAGTAACGACTCATATAAGGTTCGTACGATATTTTTGTTTATTTTTATTTATTAAGGTTCGGTAATTATTTGTTTTTTATTTACCATGGATCGTTTTAAAATCACCAATAAAATAATAATAACAATAAAATAATAATAATATTAGGATTATATAATACAACAATTTTGCAAAATCACTATTCAATTGCAAAACTTTTGTAATTTAAACGAAGTTTTAATTAGAAGAATGAAAAAACATTTTATGAGCTATACCATCTGTAGAGTCAAATTAATCCTTTTATATTTACTTAGGTTTTAATATCTTAAATTAAATACTAATAACGAGATGTTGCGGACAGTCAAGTCCAATTTTTCTTGGTTTCCTTTTTTTTCTTCTTCTTCATTTTTGTACGTCGTTTTAAGATCATCAATATTAATTTTAATAATACAAAAACAAAAACAAATAGATAAAAAAATACATGTAATGCATAAAACAAAGAAACAAATTAATGACATATTATTTGTACAATATAACAATCAATCCTTTTATATATTTATAATCAATTTTTAAACGAATCGTTTTAGAATCTTAAATAAAATAATAATAATAATAATGGTATATATAGTAGACAGTCGAGTTTACATTTTTTTAAGGGTTTTTTTTTTTTTTTCCCACATATTAATGTAACGTTTTTAGTATGTTGTTTTCTCTGTTACTGTATTTCTTTCTGTTTGGTCCATTTCTTAACAATGATTGCAAACGGCACGATCTTACGAGATTACGTAAAAAGAATAAAGCAAGTTTGTTGAGTAGTAAACTCCGTCGAACAAAGGGAAACCCGGGAGGCATTGCAGGACGGAAATGTTTATCTCACTTGAAGCCATTCCTTCTCTTATTTCCTAATCCTTCGGGCCATGCACTTCGTTTCTTCTTCCTTCCTTTCTTTCCTTTCTTCCTTCATTTAGTCCTTGGAAAAGACTCCAGAGATCCTTGACTGGAACGCAACGAAAGGATTATGAAAATGGTTAAAGTCGAGTCGAAACTTTTTTAAACTTACAATCCAAAAAAAAAAAAACAAACTTACTTTTTATTTATTTGTATTTTTACATTTGGACACAATTTTCAAAAGTTTTCAGACATATTTTCACTTTATTTTCTTCCTTCTTATTTATACATATAATATTATAGTTTTTATTTACTGAATTTTGTAATTATAAATAACCAAATTCCTTTTTTTACCCATATATTATTCCATTACAGTTTTAGTTTACTGAATTTGGTGATTTTGAAGAATAAATCTCTTTAGAATTTCATTTCCTCATTCGTATATATATATATAGAAAGGATTATTAATTATTATTAAAAGTATATAATTTTTATTTCATACAAATGTGTATTCTTTTGTCTATATAAATAATATTCATTGATTATTCTTGTTAAAAGATAAACGTATTATAAAATTAAAAACAAAATTGTAATAACGTTAATCTTGTTAAAAATTCATTAATTATTTTTACATATCTATTACTTAAACATTTCCTATTAATTAATTATTCTCTTCATTCGTTTTTTCTTTCGTTTCCTTTTTTTTATCTTTCCTTCTCCCTAATTCCGATAAGAAATTAAATTTTTTGTTGTTGTTACGTAATTATATTTAAAAAAAAGATCCAATTTTCATGATAGAAATTAATCAGAGGAGGAGGAGGCGGAGGAGGAAGATGAGTTTAGTTTGTACGTTATCTTTTTACCCTCCCCCTCTCCTCTCCCCCCCCCCTTTCCATTGGGTTTTCACCTTTCCATCTTGTTCTCATCCATTTGTTCTTTTAATCGACCATTCGAAATCGTGTTAGTGGCAGGCTACGAATCGTTCGTAAAGCTTCTGTCGAGTTTCTCCAAGAGCAATAAGTCCTACAGAAAAAAAGAGAAAGAGATAAAAAAAATAGGAGAAAAAAAGGAAAAGTGAGTCAAAGATATAGAGTTAGATAGGACAAAGACAGAAATGAAAATAGAAAGAAAGAGAAAATCGATATCTATCATTGATATCACCTGAAGAGGACGATATATATATTTTTTAAAGGACACTCTGAAAATTCCGATAGTTTGAATTCCTATCTCCTATATATCTTTTCTTTCTTTCCCTTTTCTTTTTTTTCCCCCCACTTTTCTAATTTTCGTTCTTTAATTTATTAAATTCTCCGAACGTGTTTGCCCGAACTCGCGTTAATCCTCTATTTCCTTTTTATTCCATCATTTTTTTTCTTTCTATCTGTCTGTCTGTCTCTCTCTCTCTCTCTATTTTTTATTTTTTTTTGTCCACAGTAAATCGATAAAACTCTCGTATAGATCGTATTGTTGTTTCGAGCATTCTTTTTTTCCTTTTTTGTTTCGTTCTCATCAATTTTTAGTAAATTTAATGGAGAACATGGTAATTCGGATTGGTTGGTTGGTTGTGGGGTTGATGCTTACTTAATGTTTAACTATGACCATTTTGTAATTATAAAATATTCGTGATATTATTTAAATCAATAGTTAATATTCGAGGATTACTTAAGAGCGCGAGGTAAATTATTTGTGGCCATAATTATGAAAGTGGTCTAAGTCAACATTTATAAAAAAAAATAAGTTTTAATTATTTCATAGGACATTATTTAAAACTAAATTAATTCAATGTAATTTTCACAATATTGTCAAAAATGAACCGTTGTTAAATAGTGTTTGTTATTTCAATAGTATATAGAATTCATTTTTAGTGTTCAAATGTAATCCTTATATCTCGAAACAAGAGATAGAACTAGAACTTATTATTAGACCACTTTCATAATTATGAGCACATTTGTTATATGTATAATTTCAAATGATTATTATTTTTTTAGAGTAGTTAGATGATGATTTCGTTACTTATCTACTTGAAAATCAATCGGCGTTAGTGTTTCATCGAAATAGTTTTGTATTTTTTTATAACGATTTGTAAATAAACGAATTGTAAAATATTCGTGATATTAAACTAAATATATAAACGTTATTTAATATTCCGCTTTTTAGAATTAATATATATAAATTTAAATATAAATTATATTCATATTTATTTATCATTTCTTATTGAATTCAACGTTTATTGTGGTAATGACATAATTAATTTATTTCATAACGTGTATCGTAAAAAGAAAATTTGTAATTTTCAACACTTTTATCTCCGATTGTACCAACCCCAATAACCATACTTAAATGTATCGAATATTTATAATTCATTTTATATAAATTATCGATAGCTTTTAATTGCCTGAAATTATCAATTATCCGAACGCATTAACAAGATTTTTAATCCGGCTGTAATAAACGTGCAATGTAAATTGTATAAATTTATTATAAATATTAACCAATTGAAAAGTAACGAGATGGGGAGTAACATTCAACTGATTTTTCCCAGTAAATTGTTATATATATATATAGGTATCTTTTAGTTTTACGCTAAAAAGAAAAATTATTTATTGAGGAAAAATGAACAATACGTGTTTGCGTATCCGATAAATTTTTGTTTAAAAAAAACAAAAATACAATTTAAACGAACGTATAGGTTTGTAATCGGTCCACAATGTTTTATCTCCCTCAATATATTCATTCTGAGGTAGGAAGAGGGTGGGCGTGGGAATAAAATAAAATAAAATAAAATAAAATAAAATAAAACAAAATAAAAAAATAACACCGAGTGCGAATGAAATCCAACATTAATGAACAATATATATTATTTTTTATATTTCTTTTTCCATAGGGAAAACGAAAACATTGTCAAAAAAAATATGTATCGAACAGTTTTGCAAATCAACATCGATGACACGTTGGTTATTTTTCTTTTTTTTTTTTTTTTTAGTTTTCAAAGTATTCGAAGCATAATTCATTTACAATCTCAATCAATGTGCCGGATGATGAAAAAGGAAAAAAAAAAAAAAGAAAAACAAAAATAATAGGAAAAATAAATACGATGAATTTTTTATTCCATACACGCGTTATATTTTAAAAACGATGAATATTATCTCGAATAAATCATAAAATAAAGTTATATTATTTTTATTTTTATCTTTTCTTTTTTTTAGATTTAGTTTACTTTCATAATTACCATTGCATATCGAGAATACTAGAATGTTCGCGTATTTCAATCATTTCGATAGAAAACAAAAAGTATTTGATTGTACGTTTGAGTTAAGCTTTGCAATCTTTAAACAAACATACACACACTTATATATATATATATATATGGGCACATACAGATAAGTTATCCAAACTATTTTACTTTGATGATCGTAGGCGAACACACACACAGACATATACATAACATATATATATATATATGCAATGTCTTACAAGTAGAAGCAAACAAACAAGTAAGTAAGTGAGTGAGAAGATTCTGTGTGAGTCGTTCGAACAAGTTTCTTGTCTAGTACTATGTCCTCCTATGTATCGAGTGTTCACGTGTACTAACAAGTAAACTCAACTTCCGGTGATCGAAACTTTGTTGAAATAACTACCCCATGGATGGTGGTGGTGGCTTTGTCAAGACTAAACTTAAACGGCAATATATTGTGTATTAAAGGAGCATCTATGTTACTCAATCCCTTGTCCAAGAAATTGAACGTTTAGATCCAATGATCTTATATTGTTAGATGAATTTTTATTTTTTTTTTTTTTTATAATATCTACAATCTCTTATCTCTTAAAATTTTCCAAAACTTTTCTTACGATCGTTCGGATCATAAATAAAATCGTTTCGAACATTTTCAATCGATTGCTTGTTATCAAACATCGTAAAAAAAAACAAAGTATAAAGTGTATGTACCTGTACGAATTTGTGTGTGTGTTTTTGTGAGAAAGAAACAAAAAATAATGGTTGCATTAGATTCCATTAGAAAATCAAGTAAAAACGTATCCACTATCTTATTTGCACACATAAAATAGTAAAATATTTTTAAAAACTTTGGTAATTTATGTGGAAGTTTATTTTTTAACACTGTTTTATTAAATTGTTATTATTATTATTTTTATTATAATGTTCATTTTTAAATCGATATACATCATACTTCAGAAACCATCAAGTTCTTCCTTCTTCTTCTTCTTTTTCTTTTCTACTATCTTTGTGGAAACCAATTTAATATATCCATTAGCACATATTTTAAAAAATTATTACAAGTTATTCGTGAAATTGTATCAAATAAATATACGAATATTTATGATAAATATTCTGCAAATATACGTGTATATGTTTTTTTTCTGTTTAAACAGAATTTCAATATCGAAAACATTAAGAGGACCTGGATTTTTTTATTAATAAAAAAATAACACACACACATACATATATGTACCAGAAATCTGAAGTACTGTATTTACTAACTAATTACATATTCATTATGTAAATTTCGTAAGAGAGAAGTTTTTGGGAGTTTGCATTAACTTCGATTCTTTTCCTTTCTCTCGTTTTATTATACTTCATTCTACTTCCTATCTTTTCTATCCTTTTTTTTTTTTTAAATCTTTTATCTATCTATCTTTCTCTCTCTCTCTCTCTCTCTGTCTCTCTCTTTCTAACAAGTAGCCTAGTTTTTTCCTTCTTTTTCTAACAATTCTAACAAACTCCCAAGATGGGCGTTTGTCTCGAACCTTTTTTACCTTTTTCCACGTTTCCCCGTTTCCCATGAACTTCAACTTTTTTCGTATAATTCTAACATTCGTCGATCGAATATCCAAGAATTTTGTTTTCCACGGTAATTTACTACAAGAATTTCGTCTATTTTCCGTTTGCAAGTCAAACGTAGTCTTAAATATGCATATATTTAATCGTACGATTTATCTTCTTTTTCTTCTTCTTCTTTTTTTTCTTTTAACTAACAATAAGAGATTTAATGGGAAAAACGTTGTACGTTGAGTTCTAATCAAATTGAAATGTAAATTAAAACAAAACCAAAATATATTCAAACGAAAAATTCATTCGAAAGAATTTATTTATAATATAAATTATACTAATTATACCTTCCATACCG